CACAATGTTTTCAAGGTTCATCCATATTGTGCTAAGGCTCATTACTTCATTCTTTTTCATAGCCAAATAACATTCTGTTGTATGAATATGCCACATTTTATTTATCCAGTTTATCAGTTAATGGACATTTGGGTTCTTTCTACATTTTGGCTATTATGAATAATGCTGCTGTGAACATTTGTCACAGAGATTTTTCTGTGGGCATGTTTCATTTTATATTGAGTATACACCTAGTAGTGGAATTGCTGGGTCACACGGTAACTCTATATTCAAACTTTTAAAGAACTGCCAGACTATTTTGCAAAGGGATTGCACCATTACATGTTCTGACCAGCAGCTTATGTGGCTTCTAATTTCTCACATCCTCATCAACACTTCCCATTATCTATCTTTTTTTATTATAGCCATCCACATAAGAATAGCGTGACATCTCATCCTGGTTTTAATTTTCAATGTCCTGATGGTTAATGATGTTGAACAACTTTTTAAATCTTTTTGAATTGGTTTATGAGATCCTTTATGTATTTTTTATGTAAATTTATTGACAAATAAATAATTTGCAAATTTTTTCCTCCTATTCTATGGATTCTAGTTTCACTGTCTTAATACTGTCCTTTTAAGAATAAAAATGTTTGATTTTGATTAAGTCCAATTTATCTATTTTCCCTTTTGTCATTTGTGCTTTGGTGTTATATCTAAAAAACACCATCTAATCAGAGGTTATGAAGATTATTGCCTACTTTTTCTTATGAGAGTGTTGTAATTAGAAAACTACAGTTTTATTTCTAGTTATAACACTCTCATCAGTGTTACAGTTATAAAACAATAATATTTTCATAAGAAAAAGTAGGGGAAAATTTTTATGACTTCATTGGTCTTACATTTAAGGAAATAATCCACTATGAGCTAAATTTCCTATATGGTGTGAGGTAAGGGTTGACCTTAATATTCTTGAAAATTGAAACTGTTTTCTTGGCCTTTAGGACTAGATTTTTTAAGTTTTCGCCCTGTCTCACTTTACAGCCATTTAGTTTCTATAAAAAGTGCTTCTTTCTTCTCCAATGTAATTATAGGTTCAACTTTAATTCCTTTATTTAATTGTAAGATTGACAACAGAAGCTTCCTTGTTTAACTTTGTCTTCACCAAATCTTCTGTGGGTATGATAGATATTTGTATTAAAAACAAAACTGTCATCAGAACAAAGGCCTGAAGGTAAAATAAAGAAAGTGTATGTGTGTGTATATATACATTATACATACACACAGATATATTGATATAAGTCTTGCCTTTTCTCTATTTCTCATGCTTTCTGTAATAAAAACACTTGGAAATATAATAATCGTATGTTTCTAAATAATTAAAAGAGTGTAATTGGACTGTTTGTAACACAAAGGATAAATGCTTGAGAGGATGGATACCCCATTCTCCATGTGCTTATTTCACATTGCATGACTGTATCCAAACATCTCATGAACCCCATAAATATATGCACCTACTATATACCCACAAAATACATAAAAGATACATTTTTTAAAAATTGAAAAAAAAGGTACTTGGAAACAATAAGAAAAACACCTGCATTTAAGGAACAGAGGGAAAAAAGCTAAAAATGTAACAAGAAGCATAAATTACTACATTAACCACTCCACTGGATTGTGAGACTAAATCAAATCATGTAACGAAAGCTCCTTTTAGTAGAAGCACTACACAAATATAAGGTAAGCCTCTAAACAAATCCCAGATATTGATGCCCTTGCGATCATCTGCTAAATTCCTTTAGAGCAGGCCCATTTTATATATCCCCAGCACAATGTCTGACACGTAGCACATCTTCATTCTTTTGTCTATTCAACCAATGTGTCTGAAGGGGCTGCCATGTGCCAAAAACCATGAAATGTGCTGGAGAATTCAGAAGTCAGAAGAACATGGTTCTTGACATCATGCCTTATTATGCAGTTGAAATAGGGAATAAATATTTACTGAGAAACATTAAATCTGCTTGTGTTCTTGACATGTTACCTTTTTAGAAATGCAATTATAATGACAATATTATATATTTCCAACAATTTTTTAGAAAGCTGTGGAAAAAATATTAAGGAAGTATTAGCAAAATGAAAACCTATTCAGCATTTACAGAGTGCCTGCTCCAGACGAAATGCTGTCCTAGAATCTCTGAGGAATGAGGAGATGAGTAAGACCTGGCTCCCGCCCTATGAAAGTGCAAAGGCTCATGGAAAGGATGGGTAGACAGACATCTACACAGATAACTCTAATCCAAAGCAAGCTATGGAAAATGGTACAATGAAGGTTTAAACAAAATGTGGAGAGAGTTCAGGGGCAGGCAGGAGTCTGAGAAGAGCATCGTGTTATCCTAGGGAGGTTTCTGCTTATGTCTGTCTAGCAACTTAGACACAAACAGCTTTACAAGCAGATTCGTGTCTGTGTTCCCATGAAACATTTCCACCTCCCTGCCCACACAGATAGAATGATAGTGGCTCTAAGAGTGATCAGGGAATGCTGGGCTCCTGTGAATATCTAGGACACGGCCCAGGTATGGAGTTTTTCACTTCTTCTGAAATATATGGGATCAGCACCATAGGGCAAGAAGGGAACCTGGAGGCCATCTATTCCAACCTCCCACTTGGTATATTACTGTTTATTTGAGCCTACGTCCATGTTTGCAAAAGAATATCCTTTAGCCTTCACCCTCCAGCAGACTATTGGATTTTTGGAGTTACCCACTCTTAAAGAAAAAGAAAGAAGAAGTGAACATTCAATTAAATGTAATTCAAACAATCTGTTTTATCAAAGCAAGTTGACCATAAATCAGAAAAAAAAAGTGGGGTTTAAATCACATAAATGAGACAGGAACTTGGCAATGCCCATCCTGGCAAGCTGTCATGACAGGTCTACACAAGGTCAATATGGTCATTCATTTCCTGAAATGACTTAATTCTGCTGTCTGTAACCACACAGTTCTTTGTCTTCTCATATAAGAGCATGTCACTTCAAAGTAAAATTGATAGGTGGCAATCCAAGTTTAACAGGCAAGTGAATTGCTACTATGCCATAGGACTTGATTCTTTTACGGAGGAACATTTATTAAACACGCTAAAACAGGATTCTGTTTATGGATTTTTAAAAAATCCTTTACACTCTCTTTTCTGTTACATAATAATTGCATAGCACTAAATGCTTTTCTACCAAAAAAAAAAAATTCACACTATGGTCAGCAGACAATGTTGGTGCTAAGGCAAGTTCCAAAATTTTTATTGGTAGATGTCTTTCTCCTGCCAAGCCAGATTGCGAGAGATCAATTTTAACTTCCTTTCAAATTACAGTAATTAATAACAGATTTTCTTTCCTGTTACTGACCCAGGCATAAATGCAGGCTTGAAAAATAGCCAGAAAAGACCTACATGATGCTCTAAAAGAAAGTTTTCTCTATGGCATCGGTGCAAGCTTTATTCCAGATTTCTGGCAAAGCTCTTCTCAGTTGCCTTTCTCCAGCAAAGTGGGCCTACGCACACTGGGTAAAATAAACTCAGAGAATGTTCAGCAATCTGCTGGCGGAGGTGCTTGCTAAGTGAGCATCTCATCTCTCCGTAAGCTGAAGTGTGATCATTTCTCTGTTCACCTCATTTGCATGATCTAATGAAAAATGTACAACCTTGGATTATATCTGAAGCTATGAATTTATTAGATCTTTACAACAAGAAGCCAGGGTCATGGTTAGCTTCATGCATATGTGTGTGCATGTATATATATATATATATATATATATATATATATATATGTTTTATATATATATATATATATGTTTTGTTTTGTTTTTCCCAAGACAGGGTCTCACTCTATCACCCAGACTGGAGCGCAGTGGCACAGTCATAGCTCAATGAATGAAACCTCAAGTTCCCGTGCTGAAGGAATCCGTCCCTCCCTTAGCCTATGTAGCTAAGAACACAGGCACACACCACCATGCCTGACCAGTTTTTTAAAAATTATTATTATTATTATTTTGTAGAGACGAGGTCTCCCTATGTTGCCCAGGCTGATCTTGAACTCCTGGCCTCAAGTGATCCTCCCACTTTCGCCTCCCAAAGCACTGGGATTACAGATGAGCCACCACCCCTGGGCCTCACTACATGCATATTAAATCAAACAGTATGGCATAGGCATTATTTGAAGATGTTGCTGAAATGCTTTATCTCTCTATAAAAGCCAAGCATTTCTTCGATAAACATTTCACAAACTCTAAGAAGGCAAGGTAAGAAGCTTATAGTTTGTAGAAAGAGATAAACTTGAGGTAGAACAACAGGCTGGATATGTTCTAAGAAAAATGGATGGACCCTCGGGAGAGAAGTTGATTCTGTCTTGGGCCAGAGGATGCACTCCGTCTATTTCACGTAAAAAGTTGGGAGGAGAATCAAACCAGGTGATTCTACAAATATCATGCCTTCTTTACTCCAACTTGAAAGCTCTCAAGTGATGATATCTTTAGCAGAGATACAAATACATTTTTATTTCCCTAAACCTGAAAGTGTTTTTGGAATAAGTCAGGAAATGATGGCACTGAAAACTTTGTCTTCCAAATAAAAATTGCTATTTTATGCAGGTGCGACTGCATCAGCTGGACTTCCTTACTGTCTGCACGATGCTCACCTTTCTAAGTTAGATGCTGCAGGTGAGCTGATGATACGCTCCCTCCTTTCTTTTGAAGATGAAAATGACAGCTGTACCTAACACAAGGCTTTGCCATCTGTATCCATTAGGCAAGCCAATTTAATTTTTAGGATAATAGGACTTTCCAAGCCTTCAAAGCTAAAGGCAAAGGAAAAAAATACAGGACATCTTAGGCTTACTCAGACTCTGGAAGTGATTTTTCTCTCTTCTGTATATTACTGAGATAATGGAAACTATCAATACCACTGTATTCACTCCATAAGATCCTGTTCTGTAATTGTATTTGAATACCTATTACAACAAAGGGATAATAAAAGGTAAAGTGGGATGATGTGTCAGTGTTGGAGCTTAAGAGAACATACACGTCGGTGCAGATGGGGTTCTGTGTGGAGCGCTTGTGAATGTCAGAACACATCAGGGGCATCAGAAGGAGTCAGCCATTTCAACATGTTGCAAATCTGGGACGTCATTCTGTGTTTCCTATAGAAAGGCACAAGCAGAATCAATCAAATTGGGTTTTAATTAGAACACGAGTCAATCAGGAGACTAAATTCCAAGGCTAATTCTAGCACTGTCCAAAAACCAAAACAATAACAAAAAAAGAGCTCAATTAGACATTGTCTTCTCGTTCCCAGCTCAGATGGAAGCATCTGCCTAATTAGAAAGAGACATCATTCATCCAACACAAATTAGGAGGCTCTTCCATGAAGGTTGCATGCAAAATTATGTGAGGATGGGTAAGAATTCCTATAACTCCCAAGAACATGTTTACAGAATTACACAGCCTTTGATGAAATTCTCATTGCATCCTGCTCTCAGGGATGCATGAAGGGAGTTATCCTTATCTTTAAATGAACAAATGCCAAGAATATCCTACCCAATAGCCTCTCTCAGCAGAGCAAGAAAAACGTGTAAGACTTTTTTTTGACTGAATGCACATTTAGCTTCCCCTTTTCTGTGCTGATTATATTTTCCAAACTCATTTCTATTGAATTGGCCTAGCTGAAAATTTAATTGGCTTCATCTAAGACAAAAATAGGTTTCTAACAGTTGTACTGATTTTTTTTAATGCAAAATAGAAAAACAAAATAATGCAAGGGCATTATCTATTCAGGGATGCCAATCTCACCCCGCATTCCTATGTGAGTGATTCCATCCACACCCCAGATCCGTCATCTTAAGATGCCCAGAATATTCTTATACTTGTGACCATAGAAAGCAACTTATCACTTGATTGAGAGAGAGTAAAAATTAACCATATTACAACTCTGCATTTTAATATAGAGAAAGTAAATCCATTCAGTCACACAATTAGTGAGAGTTCCTCACCAAAGAACGTCTATTAAGAATCCGCCTGTACATATGTCTCTGTAGAGTACAAAACAAAGCTCACCTGTTTCTGAGGAAACTGAAATGTCAGTGCCTGAAAATAATATACTGTGCAAAGATCATATTTTGTTCATGTGGAATTCAGTTTTCATGTGCAGAGTAAATTTTTAATGAAATATTTTTCTTCTCTCTACCTAAATATTATTCCCAGAATATTCTTCAGAGACAAAAAGACATATAATCTTCAAACTCAATTTTTTCTCCAATTCAGGTCGCACTCAGATTGAGATCTTGGGGTTTTATATATTAATAAACCAACTGTGTATGTCGTATTGCCTGTGGTTACCTGTGACAGGTTGGCTTCTTCACTAGGAAAGATTTTACCTGATTTTGAAGCAAGTCAGGGAGTCAGTGTGAAACACAGCTCCAAACTAGAGAAAGGCCTGCCAGGAATGTCATGGAGATGACTTGAAAGTGTTAAGATGGTTGAACTAACTTACACTCCCACCAACAGTGTAAAAGTGTTCCTTTTTCTCCACATCCTCTCCAGCATCTGTTGTCTCCAGATTTTTTAATGATCGCCATTCTAACTGGCGTGAGATGGTATCTCAATGTGGTTTTGATTTGCATCTCTCTGATGACCAGTGACGATGAGCATTTTTTCATATGATTGTTGGCCTCATATATGTCTTCTTTCGAAAAGTATCTGTTCATATCCTTTGCCCACTTTTGAATGGGCTTGTTTGTTTTTTTCCTGTAAGTCTGCTTGAGTTGTTTCCATCCATGAAAATTTCTTCCATCCCTTTCTCAATCTCCTGCAGAGAATGCAGCCTCAAGCCCTTGACGTACTGAGAGGGAAAAATGGTCTCTCGCCAATATTTCTGTGGCAGACTACTGTAAGGCAACAAGAAATCACCTGCTTGTGGCCGGGCGCGGTGGCTCAAGCTTGTAATCCCAGCACTTTGGGAGGCCGAGGAGGGTGGATCACGAGGTCAACTGATCGAGACCATCCTGGTCAACATGGTGAAACCCCGTCTCTACTAAAAATTACAAAAATAATTAGCTGGGCACGGTGGCGCATGCCTGTAATCCCAGCTACTCAGGAGGCTGAGGCAGGAGAATTGCCTGAACCCAGCGGGCGGAGGTTGCGGTGAGCCGAGATCGCGCCATTGCACTCCAGCCTGGGTAACGAGCGAAACTCCATCTCAAAAAAACAGAAATCACCTGCTTGTGTAGGAATTCACAGCAAAGAATTCAGTATACACCAGATTATCCATGTGCACTGGAAAAAAGAGGTGGACAAAAATGTACATCCCTTTGTTCCTGGTCTCTAAACCCCTTTATTGCTCCAAATACATCTGCTTTCTTGACCTCTAAAACGTGCCTTAAGTACTCATTCCCACTTTGGTTTATACCAACCTTTCCATCCAACTATCTTTGCCTCTTCCAAAAGATGCCTCAAAAGATTCCTCACCTCTTTGATTGCCAAGATTTCCAGTGTTCACTCCTTTGATAGAAATACTCTAAGACATGTGTTCTCTCAGTTCTTTGTTCTGTTGAATACATTCATGCATCCACACAGAACTGCACAGGGTTGAGGTGTCGACGAAGTCCATGGGAGCTAACTCCCAAGAGCAGCTCACCGCTGGCCTCCACTCCCACTCAGTAGCACAGCTCTCATGCTGTGCTTTGCCTGGGAACAGCCATCGGTAGGACAAACAGAGGCGTCCCACAGGCAGTCCAGCCAGGGCTCAGGTTTGTGCCATGTGTAGCTCTGGCCAAACAGGGTCAGTGGTAAATTGCTAACCGAAGTGGCTTTCTTGGGATTCAAACCGGGCATATAGACAGTGGTCAGTTTGCATCCACAGTAGAATAGAACAAAACAAGGAGATACATGATGACAAAGAGACTGCATTGATCTAAAGAGGGCAGAGATTCATCAGATCCTTGTTCTATCTCCAAGTCCAAGGCTCCAAGTCTAGTCGGCATCTATCTTGAGTGAGTATGTTGGTTAAAACATAAAATGCCTAAATAAATACTAAACCATCCATTTTCTCTCCAGATTTACCTCTTCTCTACTCCCCCCAACACCCAAGAATCCCAACACCATTGTTCATGACTCTAGAATCTTCTGCCTCCCTCTACCCCTGTTCCTTCGGCAAATGCATCTCCCCTACTCAACCACAGAGGTCGTTAGAGACAGCTAAGCCAATAGTCCTGTACCATCTGTTGAATGCAGAAGAAATGTTCTAAAGACACTTTAGTTAAAAAGCATTGGCTACTATGTAAGAACAGTTTGAAGAAAGTTGTCTGAAATGTAGAGGGGAAGGAAATTTTTGGAGACTATTTCCAGGAAGGCAGCAGACCAGAACAAGGGAACATGTGTTCGCATCACCAGTTTCAGAAAGCAGTTTAAGCAAATGACCAAGACTAGGGGTAAGAACCAACAATTAAAATATGGTTCAAAACTGTCTTTGAAGGCCTGTGGGAAATGGGAACAGGAATCCAAGTAGCCTTTTTGGAATTGTGATGTGTAAGTGAAGATGGCTTTAAATGATGACAATTTTCACCTTGCTGAGTGTAATTAACAGATTTTTTTTTCTTTGTCCGGGAAACTTTATTTTTCTGTTTATTCCTGGTTCCTGACATCTGATTAAGAGCAATGAAATCAACCCATCTTAGATCATGGTAAGTAGCATTTAGCATTATGCTAGTCTGCAATTTGGGATGAGGGCTATCTTTACCACGCCCATGACAGAAATGCAACTTGCTTTGCTGTACCATTGCAATAATTAACTCAAAAGGAAAATGAAACTTGTGTTTTATAGTAAAATAAACGCCTTTTAAGATTTTTAAGCCAAAAGGACTAATTCCCAAAAACCATTTAATTTTATTTCAACTCTGAAAAATCATCCCATCATCACCCCATTTCCTCCTTGTCGCTGGAAGATGATACTTTTATCTAAAGCCACAGTAGGCACTTTGATTCCTCAACCCAAGTCCTTACACCCTGTGTTTCAGCCAGCACACAGTCTGCACACCATGCTCTGAGGGTGTTTCTCCATCACTTTCCCGGCCACAGTATATCTCATCGTCAGCGAAATTCCTGGTACCAGGAAGATCCCACAGATTAATATTTCATTCTTTCATTCTCTAAAGAATGCAAATATTTGAATTAAAGGGAACCACAGAAAGTGGATTTGGCATTAAAATCACCATGAAGAAGAAAAACTTCTCCTGCTATTTACTTTGTGGTAGAAAATGTTCCTCAAAAATCAAACAACAGAAACTTCTTGATGAAGCATGAACTAAAAATAGATATCATTGGCTCTACTCTAGTTTTCTAATAATCTCTAATTTCTCAGGACAAAATTAATTTGTGTGTGTGTGTGTACATCTATAGATTTCAAAAAGCACCTACAGAAAAACAGATCCATAAAAAACATGAAGCCAAATAATACTAGACACAAAATAATTGGAAATACTGGACTAGATAATGTGCACAACATTTTCCTTTACTTTTTAAATCAAATGCTATTCTAGCCACATAATACCCAGTTCTCGGCCAGGCGCAGTGCCTCACGCCTGTAATTCCAGCACTTTTGGAGGCTGAGGCAGGCGGATCACAAGGTCAAGAGCTAGAGACCATCCAGGTCAACATGGTGAAACCCCATCTCTACTAAAAATACAAAAATTAGCTTGGCATGGTGGCGTGCACCTGTAGTCCCAACTACTTGGGAAGCTGAGGCAGGAGAATTGCTTGAACCCAGGAGCAGAGGTTGCAGTGAGCTGAGATTGTGCCACTGCACTCCAGACTGGTGCCTGGAGACAGAGCAAGACTCGGTCTCAAAAAAAAAATACCCCATTCTTGTCTTTCTCCATTTCTCACACAACCACCCCACGCTTAGCAAAGTACAGAGCCAATATGAACTAATGCAAAACCAGATACAGATCATTCATCCCGGGTCTCTTTGAAGATGTCCAAAAGCACAGGACTGGAGGGAAGGTGCCTGGCCAAGAGGGACAGGTCCTCTCAGGCTCGGACATCAGGCCACAGCAGGTGGCCCTGCTGCTTTCCTGGCCACTTGACAATCCCTCTGAAATAGAGTTATCCTGGAGAGTGACAGATTACCATACCTGGAGGCTACCGCCCAGCGCTGCCGGGGCCAGAACCGTGCAAAGGGAAGGAAAGCCACAGCACCTAATCCATGACCCCGAGACAGCAATTCAGGGAAACAGAGCTGCCAGATTTCAATTGGGTCAATATTTGGTCTTTGTTTTCAAAATTGCCCTTGGGCTTCAACTATTTTCCTTCTGTGTGGGCTTTGGAGGAATACGAAGCATGTCTATTTCCTGCAAACAGGCTTAAAATGAGAGGCAGTTTCCGACCATCTCAGTTAATGTCAGTTGAATAAATATTTCTCTGGTAAGAAATTTCTGTCTTCCCATTTGTACCATGAGTTGTGTTCTTCACTTTAGGATGTCATCTCTTCTAAGGAATACGGTATTTGTTCTTAGTCCTAGTTACCATTCGGAAACAGAAGATATTAATAAGAGAATGCTGTCCTCAGAACTCATGTTTCTGAGTTTCTTAAGTATGAAATATTCTGATGTCTGATACATTGTAATGATGATTTATAAGGAGGTCAGAATCTGGCCCCTCGTTACAGTTAATGAGATGGGAGAGTTACCCAGCACCCCCTCACAGGGTGTGCAACAGGGGTTCAGCTCTCTGTTCACTGCTGAGAGCTTGAACCCCTTGTGGGAAAGGGACAGAAGCCATGGTGAACACTTTGGGCTCCACCGTTACAGTAGTGTCTAGGGGTGGCTGCCTGCAGCCCCAGTGTTACAATGCTGTTTTAGCTCTTTCAACCACAGATGACTTACCTGTTAACCAGCTCGGTGCCCCCTCTGCCTTTCCACAAATGCAGAGGGCCAGTGTGACAGCTTTCTGTATCCCGAGATTTTGTCCAGCATCCCATAAGAATTGGGTCACACAGAGACTTGAGGGATGAATACAGGGTTTAACTGAGTGGTGGAGGTGGCTCTCAGTGGGATGGAAGGGGAACTGGAAGGGAGGATGGAGTGGGAAGATGGTCTTCCCCTAGATTTTGGCTGTCCAGTGGTCAAACTCCTCTCTGACTAACCCCCGTCAAACTACTCTTTGCATTCAGGAGTTTCTTCTCTTCTCTCTTTCTTTGCCATACTCTTCATCTGCTTGTCTCCTCATCTCTCATCAGCTTCTGGAGCCTGGGGATCCGGGTGTATATGAGTACAGGATGGGTGCATGGCAGCCAAAAGGCAACTTTTGGGGTGTGAAAACAGGAATGCCTGTCCCATTTAGGGCTGTGGGCCTCCAGGCTTGAGGGTCGGGCCTTCGCCAGGGGACCAGCTTCTTCCACCCAGTTTTTCCATGTCTCCTCTCCATATCAGTAACATGTGCAAAATGTGGTGACTTTATCAGCTGTTTTCATCACAGATGAACAGTGGTCCTTCCTCCCTGGTCTGGTTATCTGGCAATTGACTTATGAACACTCCCAGCATTAACATCCTGCCTCAACATACAAGACAAATAAGCCTATCTCTTCCAGTTCTCACGACAAAAATGTCCGTGTCTAAAAATGCTTCCAAAATACTCACATAAAGAATCTTCCCACCTAGACCCTATTATGTTAAAAAACAAAACATAAAATCTTCACATTGAACGTTTACCTGGGCTTAGCTATGTGAATCACTGAGGCATGGCGTCACATTTTTCATACAACTTGGGAAGGGCCTAAGTGACACAAAGACAAATTGTTAGTGTTGTTTAGAAGAAAAAAGTATTATGGTACCTAAATATTTAGGGCATAAATACTTTACAAAATGGTCCTTTGTAACCTGATTTCTGTCCTAATTTTACCAGGTAACCTTGGTTCACTAAGTACAAGACAGAGTAGCCCCCTACTTTCTTCCAGCTCAATGGGGACACAGGTCTAGAGACAAGTATTTTGTGATTTTCAAGTCTTACACATTTTGGCAAATAGATCACTGGAAAAAAACCAATTTATGCCATTTTGCAAAAAAAAACTATCAGGCTTTCTAACTATCAATTGCCAGATAACCAGACCAGAGAGGAAGGACCACCGGGAGAGCTGTTCTTCTGTGATGAAAACAGCTGATAAAATCACCGACTTTTGCACGTTACTGATATGGAGAGGAGACAGAAAAATACCGGGTGTAAGAGGCCAGTTCCCCGGCAAAGGCCCCACCCTCAATCCTGGAGGCCCACAGCCCTAACTAAATGGGGACAGGCATTCCTGTTTTCACAACCAAAAGTTGCCTTTGGCCTCCCAAGCCCCCATCCTGTACTCATATAAACCCTGATCCCCAGGCTCCAGAAGCTGATTGATTTGTGGTTTTATAGACATGTATTGTATGACAAAATAATACTATCTTTTTTCTTCTTGATTTTTAATAGATCCACATTTTTAAACCCTTGGGATTTGATCATATATTGGGTTTTTGAGAATTAGAGTATCAGATTATTTGTTTTATAAATATGAAGGACCTACCACCTTACACCTTACCACTAATCACTAAGTGAGAATAAAGAAGATAATGCTATAGTTTTGGCATAGCGGGGTTTCCATACTGCAAATGGCTCATGACTAACCCTTCACTTTCCCGAGGTCCAGTTGGCTAAGCTGCAGTCCTATTAGGAAGGGAAATTCAGGGGAAAAAAAGAATGTGGGCACTGCCAAGGAGAGTATTTGTCCATCTACTATTTTATATACTGGGCCTGAAATAAAAAAGAGAAGAAGAGAGGGGAAAAAAGACAAATCAACACCTTTGAATGAAATGAGCCACTTTCAATATGTCAAACATAAAGCATTTTGTTCACACCTTTCCTTATGACAGGCTTCTTTCAAAGGCAAGGCATATTTTTACACCAGCAATTCTTCTAAGATCAGCAAATGCTGAGTTTAAAAAAAATCTGCAAGGTGCCTAATTCACATATGGACATTTAAGGAGGGGATGGCGCTGGTTAGACCCAGAAGATACTCAGCATTTTCTAAATGCGTATCAGTTCATCACTTTCCTCAGGAGGAAAGGCAAAAGCTGGCTTGCATTTTCCCTCGCTGTAAACATCGGTGTCTTCATTTTCTGATCATAAAATAATAATGATTTATAATAGCAGCCCCTCCTGGTCTAGCATCTATTGGCTAGAATCATGTTACTAATGGAATTTGAGCTATTTTCACTTATTATTCATGGTAATACTCAGGTTCGGCTTTGAACAAAATTGTTAAATAGGCAAAACTGAACTTTGGTGCCTCACTTCTCAGTACATTACCCCTCGTGGGGAAATGTAGACCAAGACCCCTACTTACTGGGGTGTTTATAGCTAATACAGCACAAGATTCAGTATTAACTCTTCCAGGGGTACTTGCACATTAACAAGGGATTCTTAACATCCCAGGAAAAGAAATATGATTCTCTGATTTTGAGATGGCTGGTCCTGATGGCCATCTAGAGTGGCGTGGGGGCCACAGGAGCTCTGGGCAGCATGTGGTGCTCAACCAACTCTGCCAACATGAAAGCTGACTCTTGTAAGATCAGCAAAGTACTAAATGTTAAGCATAAATATATCTATTAGTTATAAGTATATATTAAAGTAAGCATCTCAATTTAACATAGAACAGCACTTCGCAATCTATGATGTAGAATTTCTGTTCCCTGTGCTTTTTCAAAATACAGAAAGCAAGACAAGATACATTTTGATTTTTAAGTAAACTTCCATGAACTAAGGGAAAGAAGAAACCGCAGACTATAGGTGAACTCATGGGTCTTCATCTCTCCATCCATCTCTACTTCATCTACAGATAGATTTCTTTCTTTTATTTTTCTGAGACAGAGTCTCACTCTGTTGCCCAGGTTGAATACAGTGACATGATCTCAGCTCACTGCAACCTCCACCTCATGGGTTCAAGCGTTTCTCCTGCCTCAGCTTCCTGAGTAGCTGGGATTACAGGTGTGTGCTACCACACCCAGCTAATTTTTTTATTTCTAATAGTGATGGGGTTTCACCATGTTGGTCAGGCTGGTCTTGAACCCCTGACCTCTTGATCTGCCTGTCCCGGCCTCCCAAATTTTTTCATTTTCTTTTCTTTTCTTTTTGAGACAGTGTCTCGTTCTATTACCCAGGCTGGAGTACTCTGGTGCTGTCCTGGCTCACTGCAGCCTTGATCTCCCAGGCTCAGGCAATCCTCCCACTGCAGCCTCCTGAGTAGCTAGGACTACAGGTGCATGCCACCATGCCAGGGTAATTTTGTTTTTTAAAAAATATTTTGTAGAGAAGGACTCTCACTATGTTGCCCAGGCTTGTCTTAAACTCCTGGGCTCAAGCAGTCCTCCCATCTTAGCCTCTCAAAGTGCTGGGATTACAGGTGTAAGCCGCCATGCCTGGCCTATAGATACCGTATTCATGAGAAAGAACAACAGAATTTCCATGGACCCTGTTGCCATAGCAACACTCTGTTTTCAGAATCATTCCTGGGGAAAGAGGAGAGCAGAATGGAATGAATTTTGGACAAAGACCAAAGTTCAAGTCGTGGATTTGCCATGGTGAGACCCTGAGCAAATCACATCTTCCTGAGCTGCAGATTCTTATCTATTGGAGAACTAGTCATCAAAAAACCCTGCTGGCACAAAAAACATCTTGAATTTAAGAACACAGTAACAGGCAAACATGACTAATGGTCCAACCGAAGCCCCAACTTGGAGTGATAAAGTACGATTTTAAATATTTGAATTACTAGGAATAATGAATGGCATTCTTATTTCCTCTCCCACATCCATTTTCCCACTTGCACCTATTACAGCCTTGCAATTATGATTCATTAAGAAGGAAGAAATCTTTCTTCCGGATTTAGTGAAAGGCCCATTTTTAATGTAACTCGGGTCAAAGTTGCCTTTTCTGCGTCGGGTAAAATAATTACGTAACTAACTCCAGAAATAGGAATACAGAATTGGTAAGATAATAGCATGTCCAATAACGAAGGAGTCTGCTTGTCAGGCCTATGCAGCTGATGTTTAATACAGATCTGTATTTATCCTGTAGTCAACACGGGCCGGAATGAGAGGGGAGCTGAATGCCAGTTTTGGTTTGTGGAGTCACTGTAAAGGGAAAGCCCTGTCGATTGCCCTGCTTCGCCCTTTTTCCGCGAATTACTTAATGGTTAACTGTATCCTGAGAAATTGAATTTTCCCTACTTCTCCTCGGGCAGGAAACAGAAGTAGGAGGTGGTCTAAATATGGTTAACAGAACTTTCCTGACACTGAATGAGGATCGTGGGCTGGATCAGTGCCTTGATTTTCATCTCACGTCATTGTCAGACGAACACTGTTTAATAATAGACTACTCTCAGAGTCTCTGATTTCAGTAGTGACTATTGATTGACTAGTTAGAACTTCCGTGCCTTATGAATTGTTCTCTAGAGGTGATGAAATGAGGAAATCAATGCTCTTCTTTGCGTTTATAGTCAGTCTACAGAGTGAATTGGATTTTCAAACGGCAGAGACAAAGGGATGTTTTAGAATGCCATTAGTTAAGGGATAAAATTAAAGAGAGCTAATGATATCAAGGCAAATATTGCTAAAAATATTGCTAAACACTCTGAAATCAGTGATTCATGTGAAAAGAGTCACATGGCATATGGTTTTCTTTAAAATAGACATTGTCGCATTCATGACCATTTCCTTGCTTACCTAATGCATGCAAAGTTGTCTTTGCATGATGGGCTTGGAGTCAGGGTTCGTTGTGGTTCCGTGTCTTTAGCAGGGGCCTTTGTTCTCATCTGAATCTGAGTTTCTTTGCCTATAAAATGGTCTAAGAATAGTTTTTCCTTGTAGGATCGTAAGAAAGAATAAATGAGATAACACATAAAACGGTGTCTGCTTATGACGAACAAATGGTTAAGTGTCATATTACTTATATTATTGCTATTATTATCACTAGCACAGAGTGGAGCCTCCATGCATGTTGATGGAATACACTATGGAAACAAGTTTTCAGAAGTCTGTCACTCCTTGCCTGCCCTGATGTACCTCCGTGTCCCATCCTCACTTGCATTATTTTAGCTTCAAGTGTCCTAGAACTTAGTAGTCCAAATCAAGACCTCCAACTCTGCCATTTGGACCTTTGGGTGTTAGTTAACTGAATACACTTCTCTTCCAACAAGACGCAGCCTCCTGAGGCCTCTCCATACCCATCCCCTATAACTAACACTGCTCAGCTGGCCTCATTTCTGTAACCACTGGCCTCATATGTGTAAACTTCACTGTGAAGGGACTCCTTTTGTGCATATTATCCTAAGTGTGCTCAGCTTGAAGCCTCTGTAGGCTCACTACTTTGTCCACACTGGCTAAGACCTAACACTTTCTTTTTTTTTTTTTTTTTGAGACGGAGTTTCACTCGTTACCCAGGCTGGAGTGCAATGGTGCAATCTCAGCTCACCACAACCTCCACCTCCTGGGTTCAGGCAATTCTCCTGCCTCAGCCTCCTGAGTAGCTGGGATTACAGGCATGGGCCACCATGCCCAGCTAATTTTTTGTATTTTTAGTAGAGACAGGGTTTCACCATGTTGACCAGGATGGTCTCCATCTCTTGACCTCGTGATCCACCCGCCTTGGCCTCCCAAAGGACTTAACACTTTCTTCCGTATTTGACCATCCAGCTCACAATCTTCCTTCTATCCCTCCAGCATGACCAGTGACAACTCCTTGCAGTTCTTCAACATTTTCAACCCTGGAAATATTTCCCTGGACTTCATTATTCCAATTAGAACCGCAGCAGTGCTCTGAGCCACTCTGGTTTCTCCAAGTCCCAACTCACGGAATGCCTGTGCGTTCCTGACCTCCCATCCACTTCAATCCTAAAAAGACACTAAAGCCATTAACTCTACTCACAAACACTAGTGCCCGGGTTCTTCTTCTTCTTCCAGGCCAGCTGCCCCTCCCAGCCTCACTTCCCCGCATCTCATTTCCCCACCTCCCTCGTGTCCATGAATTGTTTTATAGAATCGTCCACTCTCGTTCACTCGCCTTTCTGCCTACTCATGTTCTGCATTCCTAACTTTAGGTAGGCCTGTGAACTGCTCTTTCTTAACTGCTGACTGCTATTAGAGATCAGAGGAGTCTTCTGCATGATTCACTGAAAATGCATATAATTACCCTCTATCTGGTACTCTTGCTTTGCTTAGCAATGCCTTTATTCATCTTTACTTTTTTTAAAAAAAAATTACTTTAAATTCGGGGATACATGTGCAGAATGTGCAGGTTTGTGACATAGGTATGCATGTGCCATGGTGGTTTGCTGCACCCATCAACTCGTCATCTAGGTTTTAAGCCCTGCATGCATTAGGTATTTGTCCCAATGCTCTCCCTCCCCTTTCCCACAGTCATCTGAGAAGCCCTGGTGTGTGATGCTCCCTTTCCTGTGTTCATGTGTTCTCACTGTTCAACTCCTACCTATGAGTGAGAACATGTGGTGTTTGGCTGTCTGTCCCTGTGTCAGTTTGCTGAGAATGAGTTTCCAGCTTCATCTGTGTCCCTGCAAAGGACATGAATTCATTCTTTTTTGTGGCTGCCTGGTGCTCCATGGTATATATGTGCCACATTTTCTTTATCCAGTCTATCACCAATACACATTTGGGTTGGTTCCAGGTCTTTGCTATTGTAAATAGTGCTGCAATAAACATATGTGTGCATGTGTCTTTATAGTAGAATGATTTATAATCCTCTTTACTTTTTATAACCTTTCCCAAAGTCACTATTCAAGTCCCTTTTATTGGCCTCAAGCCATGGCCCTAGTCCTAACTTCCTTAGAAATCTTTAGGCCTAAACTTTACACACATACACATGCATGCACGCATATGCACACACACAAACACACAATCGTACCCCCTCCACCCCATGTCCTCTCTCCTCTACCCACGTTCTCTTCTATACTTATAATTTCAAAAGAAGAGTCTCTCCTCTTTATAGAACTAATCCCAATTCTCACAGCCCTAACCAGTCTTTTCTGCTTGTTTTCACTTCTACTTAAATTCATTCTTTTCTTTCCTTTTTCTATGATTATTTCCTCATGCCTGAATCCATTTCCCCACTATCTGCAAAACATTCCCAAATCGGCCCACTCATTAATTTTGAAAACTTGTATTTCTTAAGGGGAAGTTGTAAGGAGAAATGAAGGGAGAAAAAATATATATAATGTATTTATTACCAGTGAACTGTACACTTAAAATGATAAAGATAGTAAATTATATACATATATTTCATCTCAATAAAAACAAAATCTGTACATCTTCATTTGACTACTTTACCATCATTCCCAGCAGCATTTGTGAAAGGCTCATCTCCAACTCCCAATCACTCATTCCTCTGCTCTTTGTAAACTGACTATACCTACACCTGTTACTGAACTGAACGTGGATCCACCTGCCCAGCAGCAAAGCCAAATACTGACTCTGGGATTCCAGCAGGACAAGGTGAGACGTTGATTGTTGGGCCCCAAGCACGGAGAATCAGGAAGATCACGATCCAGATCCAGATTCCCTGATGGCTCGCAGGTGAGGGTTTGCAAAGGCGGAGAGGCAGAAGTTACAGGCAAATTCATATGTTCACGCATGGAGTTTGTACGTTGATTTGACCTAAAAATGTAAGACATCTCAAAAACAGCAGTTCACAGGTTATGGGGGATGCAAAGACAGAAAATTTCTGACTTGTGATTGGTTGAGGAGATGAAGCTTTGTCTAAACATTCGGGGTCAGCAGAAAAAAATGCTGTCTCTGGTTTGTGGGCATGATCCTCCAGGCCCCTCAGGAAAAATTTAGAAAAACAAAACCGGTGGTCAGAGTTCAAGTCCTCAGACCCACTTACCTGAGGTCTATCTGCCAGCAGATCCATTTAGTGGGCTTTTGGGGTTCTGGAGAACAACTTAGGAACATATGCTAAGATGTTAACTTTAGTTTCTGTAGGGAACGGGACATCTCCACTCTAACTGCCTTTGCTAGTGTTTTCAGCTAGTATCATCTTCTTGCTTATCAAGTTGCCTATTTACTGCTCAGGCCTAGCAAGATGCCTGGAATTTTCTTAAAGGAACTCAAGATTTTCCTTAATTTCATTTTTGGGGAAAGGGAATGTGGTCCCTTAAGAGAGGTCCCTGCTCCATCTCACACACTCGCAAAAGCATCTCCTGCCTCAGAGATAACCAGTAACCCATGAGTACTCTAGTTTTCTAATTCCCATCCCCCTGATTTTTCTGTGTCATTATAAAAGTTTCCCCTCCTTCACAAAACATTATCTGTCCCTTCTTTTCTCTATACATTCTTCTCTGGGCACATTTAAGTTACTTTCATTCTTTGGCAATCTCCCAAAATTTTCATCTTGCTTATCTTATCTCTCTTATACTTCCCTTTTCACCATTTCATCTACTTCTCTGGCATATATGAGGATAATTACTAAATATATGCCTCAACCCGAAACTCAAGCTTCTGACCACAGGGTACATCTCATTCACAACATGTCAAACAGCTTTATCCTTACAACTGTATATCTATCTACCTCTATCCTATCCGTCTATTCATCCATCCATACATACATACATCTATTCATGCAGCTATCAATCTATCCATCCATTTATCTATTCAACTATCTATCCTCCTATCCATCTGTTCCTTTCTCCATCTATCCATCCATCTAACTATGGATGGATAAATATCCATTCATTCATCTATCTGTCTATCCATCCACCCATCCATCTAGCTATAAATCTATCTATCCATCCATCTAGCTGTGAAATCTATATATGAAAGCTGACCAAAAAAAAAGGCCAAGTGTTCTTCCTTTGGTCCTGGAGGGAAGTTTAATCCATAGGCAAACAACTGTTGCTCTTGCCCATCTCCCTAACCACCAATAAAAACTCCCAGCCACTCTTCTTTGCTTTCCTGTCAAACCAGTTTTAGACTTGCTTGGGAGCCACTCTATTCTCCCTTAGAAAGCCTCATTATGCAAGTAAAAAACCTTTCCCATACCTTCGTGGTGTGTGTGTGGCATCGTCGATCTCAACATCCCAGTCAAATTTTGGCTAAGATTCATCCTGGTTCTGTAGGGTGATTCCAACATGTACCTTATTAACGGTCTGTGCCTTACTGCATATGTAAAACTACTCAGCCCAGCCTACATGTTGCCTCACTAAATCCATTCACCAATTTTTATGAAGTTTAGATTTATTTATTTTACCCTGAAGAATAATATTCCACAATAAAGAAGAATATTCCACTCTTTTCTTATTTTCTCTCAAATAAATTTTTGACCTAGCATTCAAAATCTTCTATGACCAAAATCCCAACCAAAATGTCTACACTTGTTTTCTATTCTCGTTCATACACCCTAAAATCTCACTAAATTGTTGACATCCTCCTACTCTCAGCAGGCCTTGCATTTTCTTCTCTTTTCTTTAAGGATGGTGGCTGTTGCCAGGGCAACCAGCTGGGCTTGGATTTTGTTGAGAATTTTGTCCTGTGTTTTCTATTGTTCATGATCTGTTGCCTTAGATTGAACTGTCCTTGCCTCATGGCCTGCTGTCCAAACCACACCTGGATGGCCCAGCTAGGATTTGTGGTTGCAGGAGATGTAAAATTCATCCCAGATTAGCAAAATAATAAAAGATAACTTATTGACTCACATAATTTAAAAAGCTAAGAGTAGTTCAGGCTTCAGGTGAGGCTTGATACAGGGGCTCATATAATGTTCCCAGGATCTAGTTTCTCTCTCTTCGACTTGAAGTTCTGCAAGATTTCCATCCACCTCTCTTCACAATCCCAAAGCCAGTGGAGAGGTGGAGGTTCTTTTCCCATGATCTCGAAAAACCCCTCTATTAACTCCAATGGAGTCATCCTAGGTGATATGTTACCCTGACGCCAGTTATAGCTAAGAGGATGCAAAGCAATGAATGGTTTGGGCTCCAAAGGAATATGGAATAACTTAATGTGTACAGTACTAATAAATGAGTTTTGCTGAAGGTTTTCAAGTAACAGTGGCTACATATATACTCTCAAACATTTTCCAGGTTAGCTGGGCATGCTGGCATGTGCCTGTAGTCCCAACTGCTCAAGAGGCTGACACTGAAGGATCATTTGATCCGAGGAGTTTCAAGGCCAGCTTGGGCAACATAGTGAGACCGCTGTCTCAAAAAAAAAATTCCTCCAAGTCATCTCTGGTTCTATAGAAACTAAAAAGCAACAGAGTGTTAAGGAGAAGTTACCTGTGTCACGCTCTTGTAGAAAAAAATGTCCTCCTGGGCATGAAGTCTCTCCCATACTCCGGGACCACTCACAAGCCAAGGAGAGAAGTTCCGAAGGCAGGGCTGGAGGAGAAGACTCAGAGATCATCTAGGAACTGAGGCTACATGTGCTGGCTCCCAAATTTGCTATTGCTCCTTCTTCAATCAAAAGATGGTGTGTCCCAAATGCATAGGACAATGGGAATTACAACAGAGGAGCATGGCGGGAATGTGAAGACAGAAGACCAAAGGAAATAAGCTTCCATAACTGAAGTTGCCTTCTTGCATTATTATTATAACTAAAGGTGCAAAACATGCCAACTTAAATTGCAAAATCTCTAAAAGCTCCCCATGCAATGCCAGTGAATTTCAATTTTTCTCTTTAAAATAAACATCATTACTAGAATTGGGAGGTCATTATGTTCAGTGAAATATGCCCAGCACAGAAAAACAAATATCATGTGTTCTCACTTACATTCAGGAGCTATAAGCGTTGTTCTCATGGAGGTAGAGGGTAGAATGATAAACACCAGCTGTTGGGAGGATGGGAGGTGGGGGGATGAAGAGAGGTTGATTAATGGGTGCAAACAAAAATTTAGAAGGAATAAGTGTTTTTGTTTTTGAAATGGAGTGTCATTCTGTCACCCAGGCCGGAGTGCAATGGCGTGATCTTGGCTCACTGCAGCCTCTGCCTCCTAGGTTTAAGAAATTCTCCTGCCTCAGACTCCCAAGTACCTGGGATTATAAGCGTGGGCCACTACGCCTGGCTTATTTTTGTATTTTTAGTAGAGACGGGGTTTCACCACATTGGCCAGGCTGGTCTCAAATTCCTGACCTCAAGTGATCCATCCTCCTCGACCTCCCAAAGTCCTGGGATTTCAGGCGTGACCCACCACACCTCGCCAGAAATAAGTTTTAATGTTTGATAACAGAGTCAAGTGACTACAGTTAACAACAATGTAATGTATATTTCAAAATGGCTAGAAAAGAGGACCTGAAATATTCCCAATCCACAGAAATGATAGATACTCAAGGTGATAGGCACTCCTGAACACCCTGACTTGACCATTACACATTTCACCCACGTAACAAAATACCACATGTACCCTATAAATATGTACAAACATGTAGCAATAAAAAATATACATGAATGGCATTTTGACCAGGCATAGTGGCTCCTGCTGTAATCCCAGCACTTTGGGAGGCAGCAGTGGGAGGACTACTTGGGTCCAGGAGTTCCAGACCAATCTCGGCAGCATAGTAAGACCTCATTTCTACAAGAAATAAACAAAAGGAGCCGGGTGTGATGGTTTACACCTATAGTCCCAGATACTTGAGAGGCTGAGGTGGGAGGATCCGTGAGCCTGGGAGGCTGAAGGTGCGGGGAGCTATGGTCATGCCGCTGCACTTCAGCCTTGACAGAGCAAGACCTTGTCTCAAAAATAAATTTGTTTAAAAAAATCATTATTATGCTTATTAATAGCATCTTTTGAATGGTTAAATTTAGCTCTTGGGGTACATGTTTTTTTCATTCCATCTTGCCTGACAATAATTTGGGTAAAGTAACAATCACTCTAAAAAAAATTTGAGTTGACTTATTTGGCCCAACACACTCTAACATATTTCCTAAGCTTCAAAACCAATTATTACAAAAATTGTGAATGACTTCCCTCTGCAAGTGAAAACTCTGTACTCAGGTTCTTTGGTCCTTTCCTTACCATTGCTGGCCTGGGAGCTAACTATGAGCAATGTGCACAATAAACAAATCAAAATGTGGAAAAGGTACTGTTTAGACGTCATCGTGACAATCTGTGTTAACTGAAGCTACCACAACGGGTCTTACACATGCCCAAAATGGTATTTTTTATTCTCTATTAACTTTTCAGCATTGTAAGTGCTATCAGGCCAAATGATTAAACACGTTCCAGTGAAGGGAGGAGAGAATGAGAATTTTGTGGTGTTATTTTTAAAAGTTGTATTCAAGGCTAGCAAAATATATGCTTAATGTTTTGATTTCAATCAGGAATGGAAGTTTCCTCCTGTCACTGTGCGCCAATATTTCTTAGTGCAGCCAGTTTTACAGAATTTCATTCCATTTGAAATCATCTTATCTTACAAGTAAAACTGACAGCTCTGAGTGAAATAAAGACACTCTCTTGAGTCGAAGCAGCAATTATTTCCATTTTTCATTAAAGCAACCCATTCAGTAGTTAGGATCAGAGAAAAATTTAAATGAAGAAATAAAATTGCCATTAAAACTGAAATGAGCTAATGGGAAAAATATGTAAACAAGATGAATATGAATACTTCTGAAATTTAAAAAAAAAAGCAAGTAACGATCAACACTAATAACAAATATTTTGCATTTCTAAACCTTATATCTAGAAACCCTAAGAATCAAAGGCAAATGAACAAATAATTATAATGCATAAGAAGAAAGACAAGGAAGCATTCCCTGTAATCTAAGCAAAGGAAAATCGAAATCCAAAAGGAAAATGAAAATGTAAGAACTTTTTTTCTGACTCACTCTTCACTCTTTAACATTCTTCTGAGAACTGACTTTTCTTTGAAGATATTTTTCTCTCAGTGGGTTTTCTAGACTCTGTGAGCTTCCTTGGATCACAAAGCAAGATATGCTTGGTGTGCGGGGGCCAGCAGGGTCACGTGTGTGTTTCAGAAGGATACACTCTGTTCCCCACTCTGCTTCATTCTTCCCCCTTCTATGTTCTGAGTCAAAGGCAAAAACAGAATGGGGAGGCAGGGACTAAAATCCCTCCAATCCAGTGACACATCCTCCAGAAACCTCCCGGGACTTACGCTTGTGCCAAGCTCATCTGAATTTATAGATAGGAGACTCATTGGTAGCACTCACTGTGCCACATGGTAGCGCTACAAGAATTCAGTCTTTGTGTGTTTTCTCTACATAAGCCAAGACATACCTTCTGTGACTGTATGTGTCCCTACAAACCAGAAATTCCAGAAGAATCTTAATTTCACTTTAATCAAAAGAAATGTGGGGGTTCTTGTAAATCTCAAAATCCTCACCAAGATTGTAGAAATTGTATCTGTTCTTCCGGGTGTCTACGGGTGTCTACATTTTGAAAGGAAAGAAAACTATTGCATTAGTCTGTTTTCAGGCTGCCGACAAAGACATACCCCAGACTGGGGAATTTACAAAAGAAAAGGTTTAATGGACTCACAGTTCCACGTGGCTGGAAAGGCCTCACAATCATGGCAGAGGGTGAAAGACACATCTTATGTGGCAACAGGCAAAGAGAGAATGACAATCAAGCAAAAGAGGTTTTCCCTTATAGAACCATCAGATCTCATGACACTTATTCACTACCATGGGAACAGTCTGGAGGAAACTGCCTCCACGATTCCATTATCTCCCACAACACACGGGAATTACGGAAGGTACAATTCAAGATGAGATTTGGGTGGGGACACAGCCAAGCCATGTCAAATATATTAAGGAAAACAGTTGTCAAAACCAAAGTGGAGGCTGTATTTGAGCACTCTGCCCACATCAGTGCAGGTATGCTGCCACTGTCTCGGCGGTGTCTGCTCCCTCAGCCCAGCAGGAGAGACCTGAGGCTGTCTCAAACTCGAGAGTCAGGTTTCTCATATCCGGGACTGGGAAAGTCACTTAACTTCCACAGGTCTCAATTTTCTCATCTGTAAAATAGGAATTCAGTTAGATTTTGTGGCCTGCCACATAATCAGTGCTCAGTAGCCATTCTATATTAATTATTAATTTTAGCCTCTGATGATTAGAAACATGATGGGAAAGGGGGCATATTAGTAACAAACAGGCAAGACTGTTTAGAAACAATTTTTAGTTTAGAAACAATTTTTAATTCACACCAAGTTTAAGTTTTATAGTGAGCAGTTAATATCCCTCAGCTGATAGGGAATTACGGTAATCATTCTACTGTCGTAACTGGTAGAGGGATATGGGATAAGGTATAGTCTAGAATCCTTTCCTGACTTCACTATAAATTTTTCCCAGATTCTCAAAAACCTATTGGCTGATCCCTTGGATTCCTCTAAGACCTATGAAAGGTCACGTTGAGAAGGAACATTACTGCTTCCATACAAAGAAGATACCTGTGATGGTTAATTTTACATGTCAATTTGACTGGGCTAAGAAATGCCTGCATTATTTCTGGGTGTGTCTGTGAGCGTGTTTCTAGAAGAAGTTAGCGGTGGAATTGGTAGACTGAGTATAAACCTCCCTGACCGGTGTAAGCAGCATCATGGGACCCATGGAGGGTCTGAAAAGAACCAAAAGGCCGAGGAAGGACAGATGCACCCGCTCTGCTTAGGCTAGGAGGACCATCTTCTCCTGCCTTGGGTGTCAGTGCTCCTGTCTTTCGGTCCTTCACACGCAGGCCGGGACCTACACCACCAGCCCCCCAGTTCCTGGGCCATCGGGTTTGGACTGGAGCCACACCACTGCTTTTCCTTGGCTGCCGCAGACTGTGGGACTTCTCAACCTCCATCAACGCAAGTGCTAATCTCTCCTAATCTCTTTATCTCTATACATCTGCTGGGGTCTGAATGTTTGTGACCTCCAGAAGTCACATGTTGAAATCCTACCCGCCAAGGTGAGGGCACTAGGAGGAGGGAGCTTTGGGAGCTGATTAGGTCATGAGGGTGCAGCCATTGTGAATGGGATTAGTGATCTTATAAAAGAGACTCCAGAGAGATCTCTTGCCCGTTTCGCCATGTGAATGTTACCAGAGGTGAGTCCTTACATCTGTAGCAATCTCAGTTCTTGCCTCCTCAGAAGAAAGAATTCAACTGAGGAGCATAAGGCAGAAGGATAAACTAAAGCAAGTTTTAGAGCAGGAGAAAAAGTTTATTAAAAAGCTTTAAAGCAGGCTGAGCATAGTGGCATGTGCCTGTAATCCCAGCACTTTGGGGAGACCGAGGCAGGTGGCTCTCTTAAGCTCAAGAGTTCATGACCAGCCTGGGCAACATGGCAAAACCCTGTCTCACATATATATAAATTAGCCAGGTGTAGTGGGGCATGCCTGTAGTCCCAGCTACTTGAGAACCTGAGTGGGAGGATGGCTTGAGCCAGGGAGGCAGATGCTGCAGTGAGTCAAGATTGTGCCACTGCACTCCAGCCTGGATGACAGAGCAAGACTGTCAAATAACTAAAAAAAAAAGAGAGAAAAGAAAGAAAGAAACTTTAGAGCAGGAATGAAAGGGAGTGAAGTCCACTTGGGAGAGGGTCGAGCCGGCGACTTCAGAGACCATGTGCACTGTCTGGTCTTTGACTTGGAGTTTTACCTATTGGCATGCTTGGGGCAGAGCAGGTGGGGGATGGTGTTTGCATCCGTTTTCCCGATTCTTCCCTTGGGGTGGGCTGTCCACATGCGCAGTGGCCCACCAGCACTTGGGAGAGGCTGCATGCGCAGCATGTTTACCAAAATTGTGCACATGCTCACTTGAGGTACTCTTCTGTACCAGGCCGCCATTTTGCCCATTAGTGCACATGCTCCAGCCCACTCACCCAGCTCCTGAGATCTTACTGGGAAGCTGATCACCAGTTTCAGGTGTTTCTATCTATTGGGAGACTGCCTTTCCGTGGCAGCAGCTGTGACCAGTTTAACAACTGTCTAATGGTTGCCTGACATCCCTGGTGGTGGTGGAGGGTGGGGGTGCTCTGGCCTTGCTCATGTCTGACTAACTACTTACTGTGACATGAGGACACAGTGAACTAGGAAGTGGGCCCTTACTAGACACCAATCTGCCAGTACCACGATCTGGAACTTCCCAGCCTCCAGAACTGTGAGAAATAAGTGTTTGTTGCTTATAAGCCCCCACCTGACAACAGTTTTGTTTTACCAGCCCTAATGGACTATGGTGATAGCCTCTTGGCTCTGGTTCTCTGGAGAATCCTGACTAATAATAAGAGAAACCTACTGAGAAAAGAATAAGGACTGCATTGCCCCCACTCCTGCCTCCCACAGAGCTGTGTGACCTTGGGCATAACACTTCTTTTTTTTTTTTTTTGAGTTGGAGTCTCACTGTGTCACCTAGGCTAGAGTGCAGTGGCACAATCTCAGCTCACTGCAACCTCCGCCACCTGGGTTCAAGTGATTCTCCTGCCTCAGCCTTCCCAGTAGCTGCGATTACAGGTACCTGCCATTGTGCCCAGATAATTTTTGTAGTTTTAGTATAAACAGCATTTCACCATCTTGGCCGTGCTGGTCTTGAACTCCTGACCTAGTTATCCAACCCACCTCAGCCTCCCAAAGTGCTGGGATTACAGGCATGAGCCACCACACCCAGCCAGGTGTATCACTTAATCCTTTTAAGCAAGGCTCGGCTCATTATCCGTAAATAGTTATTGATTTGTTTATTTATTTATTGAGACAGAGTCTTGCTCTGTTGCTGAGACTGAAGTGCAGTGGCTCAATCTATTTTCACTGCAACCTCTGCCTCTCGGGTTCAAGAGATTCTCCTGCCTCAGCCTCCTGAGTAGCCGGACTACAGGCGCCCACCACCATACCCAGCTAAATTTTTGTATTTTTAGTAGAGACGGGATTTCATCACATTGGCCAGGCTGGTCTTGACCTCAAGTAATCCACCCTCCATGACCTCCCAAAGTGCTGGGATGACGGGCCTGAGCCATTGCGCCCAGCCTACCTAAATGGTGATTTTAGCGGGATCTGCTTCACCGGTTGAGTGGTTTACTCCTCTAAGGCTTGGCCAATGGTAGACTTTCAGTAAATATTACCTTTTACTTATTAATATTATTGCTCCTCTCCCAAATTCCAAAAGTTAGATGGTAAGCATTTAGAGGATGTTTCCATAATGAGGTCAGTTCAAAGACGTTACTCTTGGCCTCGTGCCTACCTAGTCCAGTACCTACAATAGCAAGTTCCCAACAGTGCAGTGGCTATACTCAAATGAAAGAGATTAATTGCCTGTTCTGAAATCTGAACAGGAAGTAAGCATCTGGTGTTTGGTTATGAAAACAGAACTACCCTGTTCATTGAATCCCAGTCTCAGCCCTTCCAGCTGATCCTTCCCCTCTTGTTTGCTAGTGACTAGGATGTCCTGGTAACTGGTAATATCTAGAGTTACCATCACTTCAGTGTTGAGACAGCAGCTGCATCTGGAAGCTGTGTTATCTTTCAGCAGATGACTACAGTCCAGAGGCAGTAATCATTTCAAACTAGCCAGGAGAGGGAGAAGGAGAGAACTATAATAATGTGAGTCAGGTAGCGTTTTCTACCTTATCAGCTCCAGCAGATGCAAACACGCACTGACAGATACTACACCAGAGGGCAGGATAAAAGTGGAATTAGAAAATAGCTACCTTCAGGAGATACTGGGTGTCCAAATTCGATATGCAATTGTAATATAGATAACATGGAGAAACAGATAATAAATACAGCTTTTAATTCAAACATGACCTTCAAAGAGCTTTTTCCTTAAAAACACAATTGAAAAGCCCCAATCTTTCGAAAGAAAAGATCCAAACAATAAGCTTTCTTCCTCATTCCCCCAGCCCTGACTGCGGGCACATAGGAGACCATTCTCCTCAATAATGGCCTTGCACCATGCCTTTATCACATTTTATCGCATATTCTAAAGTTCGTTATGGCATTGGAAAGATATGCTTCCCTTACCACAGTTTATCTGATTCTGAAAGTATCTTATCAATAGTCCCTGGGCG